ATTTTAAATTTTTACTTTTTCTATATGATGTTAGATATTCATATAGAGTGTTTCCTCACATTTTGGTCATGAAATAAAATCCACTATACTCGCGGTAACATAACCTTCAAGCATTTTATACAGTATGATGTGTAATGCTTGGCCAATTCATAAAATCGCTTGCATTGATATTGCTTAAAATATTAGATATATAAAAAAAGAAGCAATAAAAAAATCAGATTCTTTTTCATAAGAATAGTAGTAATTATGAAAATTTTATCTAATGAATTGTATGAAAACTATGAAGCTGGCGCTGACGTCATAGGTCATGTGTATGGATATCCGTGATCTTCTTCCTGAAGTGAACCCAGTTATTTTTCATAATTTAAATATTTTCTTCCACAAAGGTATTATAGCAGACGATAATTTTAAAATAGTTTTGATCGTTATTTTTTTGTCCATTGTAAATGACGTCAATGCAATATTTGACCGAATGGAGATTGAATTCTTTCATGAAAAATTTTATTTTTTGAGGTTCAAAACTTTACTTATAGTTATTTTTCGTCAATTTCAGCTTTAATACTTTTCAAAACTGAGAACTATTATATCATATTTGTTTAATGGGTAAGTTATGAAAAAGATGATAATTATGACTAAAGTTCTAAAACAACTTTTATACTCTTCATTTGTCTAGAAAACCTATAAAAAGAGCAGCTTCCAATGAATCAGAATAAATGTAAGTAGTGAATATTGATTCATATTTAACAATTATATAGTAAAAGTGGTATGTTCTAATTATTAAGTACATTTAACGTAAATCATTTTTAATATTAAAAAGTCACGAAGTTTTGTGACAAGAGGCCCTATTTGTTAAGCCATTAAAAAATTATCTAACAATGCTGTCGTAGCCTTGGTAATGCTTAGAGGTGAGCTTTATCGCGATTATAGAGTCAATTAATACGATAATTATGTACCATAAAACTTTTCAAAGTGAATCTAATTTTTTACCTTTGTAATAATTTTTCATCATAATTAAAAACTTCGATCAACGATGGTAAATCCAATTATATTTTTTCATAAACAACTTTGTAAAAGTATACAAACAGAAAAAATCTTAAAATAATACTTTTTAATTCATAAAATTGAAATGAATGTTGTTCAATGTATTGGATGCTATGCCTCAAGTGGTTAAAGCTATGCCTTTAAAAAAATGTAGCGTTTTAAAAATAAACTTTTTCATTTTAATTCTTATTTTGACACAATGACACTGGCACACTTTAAGGAATATTAGAACTAGTCCCTTTTCAAGCGCTTTATTTTTCGTTTTTTCGGTTCAAGTATTAACATACATAAATAGAATTCCGAGTAAATGTTAAGCCCTCAATCCCGACACAGTGGTTAACTTTAGATAACTAACTCATTCGTATCATGGTATACTTTTTAAGACTTAAAGTTCTTTTTACAAAAAAAATGCTGAAAACAAAGTTTATTGTTCATTCTAAACTCCGAAAGGATTAGAAAAATTTATCCAAGTTTAAATTTATCTTTTCAATATTACGATTCAATGTATACTATTATATGTATGTTAGTATATTACTATTTTTAATTAAATAGCATTGCCTTTTTGTCGTCAGTATAATTTAAATAAGTATTTTCATAAAACTACTAAGGTTTATTAGAAAATTTAAGAGAAAAGATAAAATGAAACGCTATTCAATATGAATTCAAGAAATTCCCATGTCCTCGAAAAATACTAAAAAGAGAATATCAACAAGACGAATCTGTTCAAATTTTCTATAAATAAAACACAAAAAAGAACATCAAATATATATTTATAAATATTTTTCATCTAGAAAGAAATAACACCCTTAATCTGAACATTGACTTGCGAAAGTCTCAATATATCGTTACTTTAATTTTCTGACAAAAAAAAAATTAAAACAACAAAAAATCCCTAATTTAGGCAGCAGATGTATCAAACATAAAATAAAGCATTAAACACCTTAATAACTCGTTATCTAATCGATCAATCGGGATTTCAGGTGGTGATTCAAAGGTCTGACTTTAAATATGCCAGATACTTTTTGCAGATACTATTTTAAGTTATGAAATCTGGCACAGAAATGTTCTTTTTTTTCAATAAATATGATTTTATTAAAAGGTTACGAAATCTTTGCACTCAAAATATGTAAGAGGGGTTGCCGCTATTTAAAAATACAGTGTTAATAGTTTAGTCAAGAGAGTAGCCAAAAGTTTGAGTCCCTTGGTGTTAATTTTGCTATTTCTCTTTTGCTATATAGCATAAATTACTTAAGTCAATCAAAAACATTTTTCACACAATTATATAATTCATCTATTCAACTATAATTTCGTGTTAAAAGTAATTTCATATTGTTTATTAATTATTGCCATTTAATTTAGCGATAATCGAAAAATTTTGAATTGTGAGATATTCGAACTTTTACATAATTTATAATCGCATAATAAGTTAAAAAATTTGATATTTCTTTATACACTGCAAAAAAATTCCGACTCAAATTATGGTAAGAAGTACTGGCACCTTGCGTGCGGAGTACTGTTTTGTAAAATTTTGCGGAACAAAAATATCTGGCATGCCATTATTTTTAGAGTAATATTTACTGCAAAATCACTGAACTCCTGTAATAGAATAAATATTACTGCAAAAATTACGGTATAAAAAATTTTCGGAAAATTGATTTTATGGCAAAAAGGATTTTACGGATGCTGCAATCAGGGTGCTAGTACTTTTTACAGTAATTTAATACGATAATAAGTCATGCTTTATAAAGTTGACGTTGAGATTTTCTCTGTAATTCGCAATTTTCAGACCTATGTATCCGTGTCTGTTTGTTCTTCAGGTAAAAATACATATGAGAAAACTAAATTTGCAAATGACTCAATTTCGAAAAAAATAGATCTTTAATTTCCTTGATTATCTTATAAACAACGGAAGTATTTTATTAATATTTAATTAAATAATGAAACAAGATATACAAAAGTATGATACAAAACTAACGCTACTTTTTTATCATATTCGCGTTTTTTTTACATCCCAAGTNAACAAAGCATTAAACACCTTAATAACTCGTTATCTAATCGATCAATCGGGATTTCAGGTGGTGATTCAAAGGTCTGACTTTAAATATGCCAGATACTTTTTGCAGATACTATTTTAAGTTATGAAATCTGGCACAGAAATGTTCTTTTTTTTCAATAAATATGATTTTATTAAAAGGTTACGAAATCTTTGCACTCAAAATATGTAAGAGGGGTTGCCGCTATTTAAAAATACAGTGTTAATAGTTTAGTCAAGAGAGTAGCCAAAAGTTTGAGTCCCTTGGTGTTAATTTTGCTATTTCTCTTTTGCTATATAGCATAAATTACTTAAGTCAATCAAAAACATTTTTCACACAATTATATAATTCATCTATTCAACTATAATTTCGTGTTAAAAGTAATTTCATATTATTTATTAATTATTGCCATTTAATTTAGCGATAATCAAAAAATTTTGAATTGTGAGATATTCGAACTTTTACATCATTTATAATCGCATAATAAGTTTAAAAATTTGATATTCCCTTATACACTGTTAAAAAATTCCGGCTCAAATTATGGTAAAAAGTACTGGCACCTTGCGTGCGGAGTACTTTTTTGTAAAATTTTGCGGAACAAAAATATCCGGCATGCCATTATTTTTAGAGCAATATTTACTGCAAAATCACTGAAGTCCTGTAATCGAATAAATATTACTGTAAAAATTACGGTATAAAAATTTTTCGAAAAATTGATTTTATGGCAAAAAGGATTTTACGGACGCTGCAATCAGGGTGCTAGTACTTTTTACAGTAATTTAATACGATAATAAGTCATGTTTTATAGAGTTGACGTTGAGATTTTCTCTGTAATTCGCAATTTTCAGACCTATGTATCCGTGTCTATTTGTTCTTCAGGTAAAAATACATATGAGAGAACTAAATTTGCAAATGACTCAATTTCGAAAAAAATAAATCTTTAACTTCCTTGATTATCTTATAAACGGGAGAAATATTTTATTAATATTTAATTAAATAATAAAATTAGATGCAAAAACATGATTCAGAACTAACACTACTTTTTGTCGTATTTGTATTTTTTTTATGTCCTAAGTGGTAGTTGTATCCTGAAAATTTTGAACTCCATAATTTAGCTAAGACAGCGAGTGGGGGAATATGTGGGCTTCATAATGTTTCGTTATATAGCAAGAGTTAATTACGGAAACTGTAAAAGTCGTCCACTCGAAATATGTTTTACTGAGAAAAAAAATTTTATAAAATTTATTATCATTGAGCACTTTTGAATTAAAAACAATAATATTTTTCAAGCATGTTTTAACTATTGCAGCCATTTCAAAATAGTTTACTAAACAATTTAAAGTGCCTCAATTAAGAATCAATCAGCATAATATTTCTCACAAATAGCAATTTAAAAATACTATTTTTTTATATTTATAAAAAATAATAATTTTTTCAAAATTTTTAACTAACGGAAACTGTTTGTCCAATTAATCACACATTAACTGATTATATTTTTTCTGTAAAAAATATGGGGTGTTTATAAATATTACATTATAAAAAGAATTTGTGTCTTAAAATACTTCAATCTTTGTATCATGTATATGTAATGTATCTAGATGTTGTATGTATAAAATGGAAAAAAAAATTAAAATTTTTCTTTAGTGATAATGTTTTTTTTAAAATTATAATTCGAAAATAAACATATGAAATTATCAAATCATGTAAGAGTAAACGATATTATTTTATATTAATTCACATAAACTGAAAAATCATTAAGTTATATTCGATATGAAATAGCTTAACATCACATAAAAAAGAGCAAACGATATTATCAAACATAACGCCAGACATAAAATTTCAACGAACATAAGTTAAAGAGCAAACGATATTTCATACATAATTTTCTCAACATCAATGGCAATCACAAGTAAATCATTGACTCACCGGCAGATTCTCTCTCCGAAGTCAGGTGGGATGAAATCCGAAACTAGAGTGAAGCGAGGAGCAGATGGAGCAACAGATGAGATCGACTGTTCTTTGGAAGAGCCGAGAGAAGTTGTGTCTTCCGCCTTCTTAGCTTGGTAATGACCTAGGGTGGTCAAGGTTGCACTTCCTCCCTCTCCCCACCATCCTTTCACGCTCCATTCACAGACCGAATCTCAAAAAAATGTTTTATTCCACAGTGTTCTTCTCTAACGGAAAATTCTCCGGTATCCTTCATCTCAGCCGGGGAGAGTTACGATTTTCACCTGTCTATCTTAGATACCTGTTTTTTCTTTTTGTTCTATTTATGCGCGAATAGGCTTAATTCCTAATTGTAATTCAGATAGAAGGTTTTGATGTCTGGATTCGGACGTAGGCGATTTCGAAGAGCAGACGAAAATAGATAAAATCGTGAATAAAAACTATGCATTAAACGGCTCTCATATTTTATCTGACAGTTCTCAGGAACTCATCTGAAAGTGTAATAGGTGGTTTAAAAATACGCTATTTATAAATATGAAGGTTATATGAATTTTTACTTAAAACAATATAACTCTAATCAGGTGAAAGGGATCTCGGATATTACATCTAACTGCGCTTTCATCGTTTCAAAGTCAAGTTAGGATTGCTCTCCTTTAAAAGCATCACTGCAAATATTTTAAATGGGCTTTGCCTTTATTCATATCAACAGGTGCATTCAAAAATATTTTTCCTTCTAAAAATATAAGAAAGTTAAATAAATGACAAAGATACAGTGCATATTGCAGCGGCATGCACTGTTAGAAATTTCACTGAAAAGATTGTTAAATAACAATTTATTAAATTACATACCATATTCAAACAAAGCAGTCAAATAACCATAAATAACATGATATTCAAATTGTTAACTGTGAAAAAAACCGTTTATTAACTACTTAAACCTAATACGGTTAAATAACCAAACTTTTATTGCATCAACTAGGCCCACATAATGAAGCCATTTAATTTCTTGTCGATGGGTACATATTATAGACGAGAGGGCTAGTCTTTTGACTGACATTATTTATCCGCGCTGCTGTTCTCTCATAGACTTGCGTCCTATGACCACGATCATCAGCGCTAACACCACAATATTTTCACTATTCCTTTCAACATAAAAATAGTTACCAGTGTCCTACACTCCCCAATTTGTGACCCTGGACTGACATAATATGATACTGTCATTCACGCATAGATGGCGGCACAATAAAGCTGCTAAAATATATCCAATGCCCAGTTAAATTTCATTTTTACTGTTTTGAAACCAAGATAGTCGCAAATAGATGAACCGTATAGTTTTTAGTTTTTTAACCACAATAGCTGTTAACGGTTTCAAAACCGTAAAGGTAAAAGGTGTTCTTTGCCGTAAACTTTACGGTTAATTGGATAGACGGTTATTTTACCATAATTCTATAACAATAATTCTAACAATGTGTACTTGGAATAAGTTTTCATAATCTTTAAATAGAGCTATTCATACAAATGACCCAAAGGTATCTTCATCGTTCTTTTTACTTTTTTAAAATTATTTTTTAAATTTGGACAGTTTTGGTATCAACACCGTTTGATTCCGGTTTTTCTTAGTTACATAGTTGCTTCATCATGGATAAAACCATATCTTATTCCAGTGTTTTCCAAACTACTTTGATTCAGTTCCCCCTTTTCACTATTGTTTGAAACTCACTCGCCACCCTCAATCAAAAACTCAAAACAAGTTATACACGATATTTATTCAGATTTAGATTTTTCTTAACGTGTTTTTAAATTTAAATAACAGGGCACAGAAAATGTTGATAAAATTTACATTTTTCAACTTTCACAAACTAATTATTTAAGAAAAATTCAAAAACCTCATGAAAAAGTAGAAAATAGTCTTCATATTACAGCACACTATTGTATGTTAAGTCACTTCTTGTTTAAAGCAGAAATTAACCATTTGAAATAATAAACGTAAGCTTAATTTCATTTCCAGATTAAATAAGATAATTTATTTGTAATTTTTAGAGATTAATGTCCCTAAGAATGTGTCATTTACTGGCTTATTCGACATTTTCAAGTATTTCCCCAATAAAAATACAATATTAATGACAAAATAAAGTGCTTTTCATTTAATTCATAAAATGCCAGAAACTTAAAAGGAAAAAAAAGCTTATGAGCCTTGTTTCTGAGATAGATTTTTTGGCAAATTCTGGGCAAAAAGGCAAGAAAATTTTTTAAGCTGTAGTAAAACATAATCGATATTATTATGAGTAGAAAATATAGTTTAAGTTAAGTAAAAAATTTGCTAGTACTGCCTGTAATTCTGCTACCTATTATTAAAAATTCAAAAGTTGCATTTAGCTTTGCATTTTTCTTATCCTATTTCTACTGTACAATAAATTTTTTGGATTTATTTAATGTATCATTATTATTATTATTATTATTTATCATGATTATTTTCAACTATGCCACGTTTTAAAAATATTTTTTTTAAAACTAGTTACTAGATAGATTCATTTCTGATGATTTTCTAAAACTAACCTTTTTTTAAGTAGAAAAAAGGTAAAAAATGTTGTAAAAAAGTATTTGTTTACTAGTGAAAAATTTCCACTTATCTGCAGATCTCAAACAAGGCAAGTTCTATGGCAATTCAAGGCAAAGTTCAATGTAATTGATATATATTTTAAAACAATAATATATTATTCTTGGCTTCTCATGATTGAAAAAATCTACCTATAAAAAAGCTATTGCCGTGGTCATAAATGTTTTAGTTATTTTAGAGAAAAGTTATCCCGGACATGATAATATCCTGAAAGGTTAACAAAAAATATGTTGTTTTTTTTTTTTATCGATCTCTTGGGAAGAATCAAAGTTGAAAATTCTCGCTTTCTTAAAAAAAATTGTATGGGATTATTTTAATTAAGATTCTCGATATTGATCGTTAAACAAAAAAATAATACCGAGAGTCCTATCCTTAATCTGTTTCTAATATCGTATTTTCTTCCCCCCCCCCTCGCCTAGGCAACGAGTGTGTGTGACCTCATATTATCCATTCCTCCTTTCGATTTGTTTATTTTAATTTCCAAGTAATTATTTTTCGATTCAAATGTTTACAATTTGTATTTCTTAACGTTTAAATGTTATTCAATATTATTGTTTATAACTAAAAGAATAGATTGAAATAATGCTTTTTTTATTTGAATTTCCATTTTTGTTCATGACAAGCAATTATAATTTTATTTTGAATTTTTTAACTTTCATTTAGTATTTTAATTTAAGGAAAGGTCAGATGAGCAAATGAAACAATCTGAAAAGAACTAAGAATCTGCTCATCGAGTCCTAAGGGTTGGTAAAGTATAGCAAGCCGGGGGCGAAACCCCTAACAAAAAATAGAGAGAGAGAAGTCCAACTCTTTCATTAACGCTGGATACTGATCGGTGAGATGTACTACACCAGAAAAACAACTTACAGGGTGAACATACTCAGATTTAGCAGACCATAATATGCGCCAAGATCCAGTGCATGCGCATTAGAAATAAAGTGACAGTCAGGAGATACATATCTTGGAGTAATAAATTGTAATTGTATTTAAAAAAATCAAGATACAATTGTAGTTGTAACATTGAGTTTTCTAATGCACCACTCAAAACCTTTATTTGTTTGCAGCTCTATCGGTAAACAATTTTACAGCTGGCTGAACAAGATGAGCAGAGCGAACGAAGAATTTTAATTTCTTTATGGAAAAAATAAGTTTAGATAACTTTTTTTTATCGGCTTTGTTAATTTTAAGCAGATTTTTTCAAGGTTAAATTGTTAATTTTAAGCACCCTCTTTTAGTTTAGAATTAAATGAGAAAATATGCAAATCTCAGAACTTATAATTTATTTTAAATGTTTCCTCATATCAGTTAAATCCTTTCAGTCATTCATTCCAAAAACTATTTTTATTGAAACTAATAATAATAATAACTATTAATATTAATCATAAAATGAAAATATTTCACTTACCTTTAAAAAAAAAATTTTTTTTGAAAATGGAAAAAAGAGCTAATTTTTAAAAGGACTTTTCCGTACGAGTGTTAAAATTCAAATTTTAAATTAAACAAACGATCTTACTTTGAAGGATCTAATTTATGTTGTTGTTGTTCATTTACGTCGCACTAGAGCTGTACAATATGCTATTGGCCACCGTCTGGGAAACATCCCTGAGGATGATCAAAAAGACATGCCATCACAATTTTGATCCTCTGCAGAGGGGATGGTACCCCCGCTGCGGTAGCCCGACGACCTGCACGCAAAGTCGAGCACTTTCCGGTAGAACATTTTACCCAGGACCAATACCTCACACCTTCGGTCCCTACGCAGACTGATCCAAGTGGTCACCCACCCGCACACTGACAGCAGCTNACGTTTCTCTTACATTTCGATCTATAAAGAACGCTAATAGCGGATGTGTTTCTTTGTTACACTTAGATCTAAAAAGAACACTTATAGAGGATGTGTTTCTCAGTTACATTTCGATCTATAAAGAAAGCTAATAGTGGATGTGTTTCTCTGTTACACTTATATCTAAAAAGAACTCTGATATTGGATTTGTCTCTCTTACATTTCGATCTATAAAGAACGCTAATAGCGGATGTGTTTCTTTGTTACACTTAGATCTAAAAAGAACACTTATAGAGGATGTGTTTCTCAGTTACATTTCGATCTATAAAGAAAGCTAATAGTGGATGTGTTTCTCTGTTACACTTATATCTAAAAAGAACTCTGATATTGGATTTGTCTCTCTTACATTTCGATCTATAAAGAACGCTAATAGCGGATGTGTTTCTTTGTTACACTTAGATCTAAAAAGAACACTTATAGAGGATGTGTTTCTCAGTTACATTTCGATCTATAAAGAAAGCTAATAGTGGATGTGTTTCTCTGTTACACTTATATCTAAAAAGAACTCTGATATTGGATTTGTCTCTCTTACATTTCGATCTATAAAGAACGCTAATAGCGGATGTGTTTCTTTGTTACACTTAGATCTAAAAAGAACTCTGATATTGGATTTGCCTCTGTTTCACTTCGATCAATAGAGAAAGGTGATGTTGAATATATTTTTCTGTTACACTTTAATCAATGAAGATTCCTGATA